TCTCAATATTCTGCGTCAATTAGTTGAATTTGCTCACAATAATGAATGCATCATGAAAATGTTATTTACAGTATTATATTACTATTAATTTCGCAGTCCGCATTATTAAATTTCCCTAGCAAAAAAAACAGATTCTGCGCCATGTTCAGAATGATTATTAGACCCTAATGCATATTTACTGCAGAGCAGAAACTAGTAGAAATTGGCTACTTCTTCAAATGGTTTACTTTTCCAGGGTTTGTGACCGTAATGGTGAAAATAAACGTTAATTCGCCGGATTGGATTCATGCGATGGTTGTCTGAGAGTAATGCGAAGGTACGTTACTTTTTTTAATGGATGTGTAGTTTATCAGTCTTTGTGCGATTCTGAAGGAATAAAAGACGTGTGAGAAAATTCAAATCGAGCGGAGGGTTTTGGTCACGCTTGCATTCCTCGTCTAATTTTATAATACCGTTAAGGTGATTTCATGTCAGAAATTTTGTCGTGCTTTATTGATAAAACTGCAGACTCCTGTGATGTTAGTACCCTGTCCACAAGGTAGGACTAAGGATAGTCCGAGTTTCCTCTGACCCTTGACACCCCATTTTTGATATTTGTTTTTTTATGTTTGGGTGCAGGGTCAGAGTCTTATCAAAAACTTGGAATTTGCAGACACCATTTGGTGTCTGCATAGGGTACTTGCCAACTATCAGGCCTAGCAAACTTAAATGACCTTACATTGACCCATAATTACATTAAATCGATAGGGAAATCATTTATCTTCTCAGAAATTACAAGCATAACACGATTTTGTCTTTAATCCTTTGTCAGACGAGACATAACTACAGAGTTGATGAATTTTGACCTCGTTCGCACCATTTTAATTGCTAGTCACATGACTAAATCTTGCAGCTGATGTGCATTAACGTCATAGGTCAAATAGTTACGTGATAACAACAAAATAACGCTTTGACATGTAGTTTCTGCGTGATCAGTCAGCCTCTTTCCAGGAAGATGCGACAGCTACATGTTTCGGGCTGCTGTTATCCCTATTAATATGTTGAATAATACGCGTTTTTTCTTGTTATTGTATACATTGCGTGACTTTCGAGTTTATGTCTTTATTCTGCAATACTGAAATGGAAGGTTTTATGCATAAACCTATATTGCAACATGGCAGGTAAAGACGAATCTCTTGCCAATGAGATACTTTAAGAAAAGGGATACTATTTTAATATTAAAGAACTACAGTATGATGTAATAAAATCAGTTATCAATGAAGGTGACACATTTGCCGTCTTCCACAAGGGGTATGGGAAAGTTATTTTGTTGTTATCACGTGACTATTTGACCTATAACGTTTATGCATATCGGCTGCGAGATTTGGTTAGTCATGTGACTAGCAATTAAAATGGTGCGAACGAGGTCAAAATTCATCAACGCTGTAGTTACGTCTCGTCTGACAACGGATTAACGACAAAATCGTGTTATGCTTGTAATTTCTGAGAAGATAAATGATTTCCTTACCGATTGAATGTAATTATGGGTCAATGTAAGGTCATTTAAGTTTGCTAGGCCTGATAGTTGGCGAGTACCCTATGCCGACACCAAATGGTGTCGGCAAATTCCAAGTTTTTGATAGGGAATAGACTCTGACCCTACACCCCAACATAAAAAAACAGATATCAAAAATGGGGTGTCAAGGGTCAGAGGAAACTCGGACTAGACTAAGGGTAATAATATTAGTACTACACCCACCCCCAACAGTCCTGTGACGGGCCGGGGGTAGTGTGTGGTGAAGCTCGTTACTAATTTATTTATTATGTAAATCCATTCATTTAATACATTTACCCTTTGGAAAAACAACAACATAAGTAGTAGGACCCCACTGTCCATCTTCTGGAGGGTGTACTTTTCCATCGGCGAGTCGCACACCGCGCATGCCTCCACTTGAACTACGATATTTGAGACCACAAGCGCCTGGAAATTGGGCTGATAGTGATGATATCAGTAGTGTTCCATCTTCCTCGCATGGAATTTCAATTGACTCTTCATTCTCGTCTTCGGTAACGCTTACAAACTGAGGCATTTCAGGAAACATGAAAATAAAGTACGATTACAACCTCTACCACATCAATACTTCCGGCTAGTTTACCTTTTATTGAGATTGGTAATGGTCTATATACAACCTCCTCAAAAAAAGCGACGAAGCTAAAACTAAAACAGTGTACCAGACCAGATTATTTGGGTCATACAAATCGCTATACCAATGCGCATGCTGGTATAACAGTACCGATTGCGCAAGTACAGGTGGGTGGAGCTTAAGGTGTATGAATATTGTATTCAGAAATAAACAGCAACACTAGCTGTGATTGGTATATTATGTAAGAGTTGTACTTTCTGTTAGGCTTTTTAAAAAAAAATGAGCCTCTTGTCAACATGTGAGATTATGTTAATTCCTAACTAGATCATATTTTGTATTTTTTAATTGATTTTTTTGAAAATATGGTACACGTGACTGAAAATGTCTGTTGTGACTAGATAACTCATGATGAACTCATACCCTGTCTAGTTCCATCAGAGTTATCTCTTAAGTGGTTTTCTTTCATCGTCAAATTGACAATCTGACACTTTTCTTAAGAAACGTCTGTGACATGCCCGCTAAATTAGGATAGAAAATATATTTATTTCTCCAAACAGTAGCATTAAGGTCTATGGAAAAACAATTGGTACCGTGATATCTTGCTAATGTGTGCTATCCAAGCGAGATAACTCATTATGAACCTTCAATCAGAATCTTATTAGCCGTTTCCATTATTATTCATGGTACTAATTCAGTTCACATAGTACACCCATGCAAAAACTATGATATTAAAATTCAATAATTTTAAATATCTGAGAGTTCATGATCAAACCTATATTTATCAATATATGTATGTGTATGTGTGTGTGTGTGTGTGTATATATATATATATATATATATATATATATATATATATATATATATATATATATATATATATATATATATATATATATATATATATATATATATATATATAGTCATTTAAATCTCATTTTCTGTAATAAGTCATACACCAATCAGGTACTAATTTCTGTAATGAGTGTTTTAGACTCAAGATTGTTAAAGGACTGAAATTCAATCAATAAAACAATGTTTGTATTTTTGTCAGTTACAACTAGGATAAGCTCTCAAAAGATTCTTTTTTTCATTATTCCATGTGATAATTGGATCAAATAGCTCCCATTTTCCTATACAATTAGAATTGTGTGACCTATACGCGCATTTTCCCCATGTGACTGTACTCCCTACCAGTGCGATTTTAAAAACGAAAAACATCGGATAGACAAAATGCACAATTTAAAAATTGATGATTGAAATTACTACGTTTGGTGGAATTTTATATCATTGATGTGTTTAGTTTCATCACGCTCGCGCGATGAGTGTAATATCAACTATACAGCGTACATTTTATTTATATCACATACAAATACATATAATGGCATTTCTAACGGAGTTAAGATTGATTACATGAAAATATTGAATTAGTAGGTGAACACTTTTCACTCCTATATAGTGCATCTTCTACAACATGTATAGTTCTATACTTATTGTGACTATTTGCAACCCCTTTTGCACATTTATTAGTTGTCTATCTGTTATTTAGCTTCTATTTTCGTTCATATTAATTAAATAGGTTTCAGAATATTTATGATTTCAACCCGAAAGATGGTTTATTTGAAGAAAGAAGAGCACTGCAAACACAGCATTATTAGCCTTTTGAACAATGAACACTCAGAATTTAGTCACCTGCTAAGTGTGCTGAAACGAATGTTAACTATAAACTAAACTAAATGACGAGTCAACAAGAGGTAATAACATCATCTAACTTTATTTACAACTGATTCTAGTTACTATTATGCTTCAATTAATATTGCTACCGACCAGAAAATTATTTTTATCCTCCATTTCCCTCTTTCCTTTCTCCATTGGTCGGTTTTATTCATAGGTCCAAAGACAGCGTCGCATGACACATATTAAAATCGGATACGTTCGGTCCCCCACCCCTTTGGGTATTAGCCTGTGGCTTGCGACGATGGTCCAGAGAAAGAGAGATGTTACAGAGATAATCTCAGGTTTATATAAACACGCAAAAATAAATCCAGAACTTAAGAATGGGTTTATTTTGTAGGAGTTTGTGAAGAATGTAATATAAATCATTTTCTACCCTGAAATCACAAGTATACATCTCCAAACTGTCGGTATTTGTGCATATACGTATCAGTCCATTTACCAGTACATTGAATAGAAATGACTAAATGTATCGCATATACATTAATTATCCATACAAAGAGATAATGAAACAAATGAAGCTAATGTAATGAGAGAGAGAGAGAGAGAGAGAGAGAGAGAGAGAGAGAGAGAGAGAGAGAGAGAGAGAGAGAGAGAGAGAGAGAGAGAGAGAGAGAGAGAGAGAGAATGGCACGTAGAATGGTAGGTAGATTGATAGCCCGTTAAGTGTACTCAATGTTAAACAACTTCCAGTAATTCCATTAGAATCTATGTATAGCAATTATAACATACATTTCAGCGAGAAATATACAAAGTACATAAAACTGAGATGTCCAACATACATAATAAACATATCATAAACCTAGGTACCGTATTATAGGGAGTAACTGCCACATTTTAAATATCACCCTCAAACAAATCACCGAACTCTCGTCTGGAAATGCAAAGAAGTTAAGAATATTATTTACCGTACATCTAAATATCTTTGGTATTCAAGTACACTTGCAACGTACGAACATTAATACTGAAAGCGATCAACTATAGAAAAACAAAAACAAAACAAAGATATTTTCCCGCGACCACTCTTGAACAGCGTAAATATATAACGTAGATTTTAAGATCAGAAATCAAATAAAAATATTAATGTTTTGTTTAATTATATCTTATTTATTATGTAAACTTCTCCACAAGTTACCATTCTTAAGAGACCGCACAGGTGGCCTATTGGTTAAAGCGTCTGCCTCGGACGAGGGAGGTCGCGGGTTCGAATCCCGGCCGAGTCATATGATTTACTTACAAAAAATACTAACACTTGCCTCGCTAGGCGTTTAGGTTTAAGAGGTGAGTGTTAAGACTGGTCGGAAACTGTAAACTGCTACACTGGAGATATCGTAGTCAATGTGACTAAACAATTGTTAAAGCTATGTTAAATCTCTCTCTCTCACACACACACACACACACACACACACATACACATATACACACGCACACACTATCCTGTAGTGAGGAAAATCACCAATATGTTACGATCTGATACTGCGTAGTTGTTTTCGTGGACGGTCTCAGTGACCTCTCGGTTAATCCAGACTGCATGACCACCCTTTATCATTTATTTGTGCTATTTGTTTTATTCAATTCTTTATCCACATTGGAATTACCATCATCGTGGAGTTTAAAGGTTTCATTAATGACTTCAATTAAACGTTCACCGGACTAATTCATCTTTATCGTTGTTCCTGACAGATGAATCGACCGTATATGCCGTTTCAGAAACACCAGATAATCAGCATTTTATTATCGTTTTTTGAAAGATAAAGAGATACAGATTTCTGATAATTCTGGTTTCAATCTGTTTCTTTAGAATCATATTTGTATGAAGTTCTGGTCTAGGCTATCCTAGATAGCGTTTCTTACTTGCGATTAAAATTCCTAACAAATTAATCGGTAATACGCCAATAGGAAGCAGCACTTTTAGTTAAGTATATGCTTGGGTCCTTTGCTCTTTTATGAATATGCAACATATACAGGAATATCCGGGTTCTTTTGGGCTTGCACATTGTAGGTAAATGATCAAATGTCACAATTTTCACGTGGGCTATATTCCCAGGCTGAAGAGTTGTAGCTCTTGTCTTCATTTCACATCTCCTTGTTCTTGACTTTATTTTCGCAAGACATGTTGCTAGTTTGTATGTCTATCTCGGCCTAAATGACCACAACCATCATACAATGACTGTAGAACCTCCTCACGGTGTTTTTTGGGGAGTACCAAAGGCAGTTGTTCATGGACATCAGCACTTGTGTTCTGTATAAGACACCTCTTCGCAGGCATACATCGACAAATGGCCTGAATAATGCTAAATGGATCTTTGGGTTTGTGAAATGACATGTTCATGATTTTGTTTGTTGCCTTTTTTCGTTTTCGTTTCTTTTTTGTTCACTTTCCATTAAGTTCGCAAAATAATTTGCGAACGTTGACTTAACAATATTTCAAAATGCTTTAAAGGATAATTGTAAATTGACAAAATGGAGAGCAGGAAACAAAATATGAACAACAGAATACAAAATGTCATTTCGGAGACAGTGAGCACTTTAAACAACACACACACACACACACATACACACACACACACATACACACACATGAAGAACATAAAACAGATACCACACTACAGATTAATATACCCCAATGTTGAAAACCACACACACACACAACACACACAACACACACAACACATACATACATACATACATACATACATACATACATACATACATACATACATACATACATACATACATACATACATACATACATACATACATACATACACACACACACACACACACACACACACACACACACATACATACATATATATATATATATATATATATATATATATATATATATATATATATATATATATATATATATATATATATATATATAAACCTGAATTTTTCACTGACGATGATTTTAGTATTAAGGACGTCAAAACGCGTAAATGTTTATCTAATTTGTCTGACCCTGAATCAAATAAAAATAAAATACAAGAACATAAAACAAAAGATGGATTATTCAAGATGGCTAATATCGTCGTTGATGAGATTTTGAATAGCATTGTGTATATTGTTCAATCTATTCTCTTTGTACAGTGTAAGACATTTGTTATTGAATCACAACAAACAGATAAGCAAGATCTAAGTTAAACATACACATATTCATAATCACTTTTGAATTTAGATATATTTGTAGTTATATGCATATACTGTGTAATACATTACAATAAAGGCTACTTTATACAAATATATGATTTTCTATTTAAACGTAAGAAATATACATAAACAAAATTAAGCTTATGGTTGATATAAATGCTTCAAGAATGACAACATTAGGTTCGTGGTCTATACAAATGTGTCAAGAATGACAACATTAGCCACATGGTCGACATAAATGTGTCAAGAATGACAACATTAGGCTCATGATCAATATAAATGTGTCAATAATGACAACATTAGGCTCATGGTCGATATAAATGTGTCAAGAATGACAACATTAGGCTCATGGTCGATATAAATGTGTCAAGAATGACAGCATTAGGTTCATGGTCGATATAAATGTGTCAAGAATGACAACATTAGGTTCATGGTCGATATAAATGTGTCAAGAATGACAACATTAGGTTCATGGTCGATATAAATGTGTCAAGAATGACAGCATTAGGCGCATGGTCGATATAAATGTGTCAAGAATGACAGCATTAGGCGCATGGTCGATATAAATGTGTCAAGAATGACAGCATTAGTCACATGGTCGATATAAATGTGTCAAGAATGACAATATTAGGCTCATGGTCGATATAAATGTGTCAAGAATGACAACATTAGGCTCATGGTCGATATAAATGTGTCAAGAATGACAACATTAGGCTCATGGTCTATATAAATGTGTCGAGAGTTACAAAGTTTGTCATATGATCGATACAAATGTGTCAAGAATTACAAAAATGGGTACATGGTCGATATAAAGTGTCTCAGAAATTTGTCACATGGTAGATTAGATATAAATGCGTCATAGTCGATATAAATATTTCAAGAATTACAGCATTTGGCACATGGTCGGCATAAATCTGTCAAGAATTACAAACTTAGGCTACTGGTCGATATAAAGTGTGAAGATTACAACATTAGGCACATGGTCGGTATAAATGTGTGAATAATTGAAAAATTAGGCACATGGTCGATATAAATATGTGAAGATTACAACATTAGGCACTTGGTCGATAAAAAGTATGAAGAATTACAACATTAGGCACATGGTCGACATAAATCTGTGAAGAATTACAAACTTAGGTTACTGGTCGATATAAAGTGTAAAGATTAAAACAGTAGGCACATGGTCGATAAAAAGTGTGAAGAATTACAACATTAGGCACATCTTCGGTATAAATGTGTGAAGAATTGCAAAATTAGGCACATGGTCGATATAAAAATGTGAAGATTACAACATTAGGCACTTGGTCGATAAAAAGTATGAAGAATTACAACATTAGGCACATGATCGATATAAATGTTTCGAGAATTGCAACATTTGGCACATGGTCAATATAAATGTGTCAAGAATGACAAAGTTTGGCATATGGTCGATATAAATGCGGCAAGAATTGCAACATTTGGCACATGGTCAAATGTGTCAAGAATTACAAAATTAGGCATATGATTGATATAGAGTCAAGAATTACAAATTTAGGCTCATGGTCGATATAAACATGTCAAGAATGACAAAATTAGTCACATGGTCGATATAAATGTGTAAAGAATTACAAATTTAAGAAAGTAATAAGTAGTAAGCCAGGAATAAAATATGTAAGACATGCTTAGACTTATTATTTTCTTTTGTTTTGTGGAGGGTATACAAAAAGAAATGTAGAGATTTCTAAAAACGTTGTGCTCTACAGTTTCGTATTTTTTATAGGTTTTCTTTTAAAGATAAAGAATTTCCCAGGATTTGTGAACTGGTGATCCCTGCTCTTGTATATTTTAGGAATTGTTAACAAAATAATTAATTTCCTTTATTCTGGTCTATGATTGATGGGTGAAAGTTAGGCTATAGAGTATGTCTTGGTCTACAAATGTGCGCCTATGAAAAAAGTATGCTACCTCCGACTGGTCTTTTTCAATTCTTGGACTTTAAAAGTAAATTGTAAAGAAAACAGATGATAACTTGTTTTACTTTTAATACCTTTTGTAATTTATTCATTGCACTTTAGGAAGCTGGTATTGCCTACTCCTTCAAAATTAGTTTTCCCTATTTTAATAGCAGCTAAAGACAGTGCACGTAAGACTAATTCAGTCTGATTTTTCGAGCATATGGGAGCTGCCATTTTGGTTTAGCTGTGTGCTTAGATTATGTTCAATTTCCATAGGTACAATATGTAAGGATATTTCGGCCACAGTACATGAAAGTGACATAGAGGTAAGTTAACATTCTATTCATTCTGCATATTAAAAATTTGAATGAAAACAAATTTAATTTACACGTGTCAGTTTATAAGTTTTTTTTAACGTTTAAAACGTAGAAAAGCTGAATAGATAGGACATACATTCTAATAACTTATGTTAATTCAACACTTTCTGAGTTCTTTTGAGAAGAGATATTTTTGTTTCTATGAGAACATATTCTGTCCAGTATACCCAATTTCTCATATCATTTTTATACCTAAATTGTCTTTATACATTAAATACTTTTAATTAGTACTTTTAATCAGTTTTTTTTTATTCACATAGGGTTTATATCTTTATGTGACATTGGATAACAAAATCGTTCAGTGTTATGCTTCTGACATTTTATAATCATTACTAAGAATATGTTGCTAGGTGAAATAATATTTTGTAGTTTGTTCTTTTTGCATTAAATACTGAGAAAGATTCAAAGTGATTTTTTTTTAAATTTAAAAATTATATAAGTATCTCTACATCACTTTACAGTGTTTTCATTTATGACCAAGAATAAATTGCAGAGGTGAAACTTAATTTGTAATTCATTGTTTTCATTATTTATTAAGAAAGGTTTTAACATAAGTCATTATAATAATTCCATTCTCAAAACAACTGTTAAACGGTTTCTTCTTCATTACAGAAGCTACATATCACTATTTATGTTCATAATCTGCACAAAAATGTTCAATTTTTTAACCCGTAGTTTCATCTTCATTTCATAATGGTTGTTGTAAGTTTGTTAATTATTGACTTTGAGCTTTCTTATTAACCATTATTTTTATTG